ACGACGCGATTCCAACTCACAGCCCAAGATGAAGCGATGTGTTGTTTGTTCCTCGAACGAAGACCCAGAGATCGTAGTCTTCAACGATGGCTCGTCGAATCGGAAACGAAGTCTCTACCATCCTCTAGATATTTAACAAACCGTTGTTAGCTTTAACAATTAACCCCTTGCGCTGACAACTGATTTGCGGACCATAACGAGTGACCGTGACCGTATACAATAATTCGTAGCTTTCTTTTCTAATTTGTCGGTTTGATATCACTAGAAATAGATAGAAATCATTGAGAAGTAATAAATTTATTATTTGTTCTGCCTGGGTTACATTTAAATATACTTGATACTGCGAAAATGTTGCAATTTTGGGACAGAAAATTCTCGACGTGAGTGGCACGTCATTCCAGCGCAAGAGGTTAATGTGCAAAATATATTGTGCGAGGGAAAATGATGGGTTAAAATACTGTAAATACTAAATAGCAAATACTAGCAATTACTAGTGCGTAAATATTAAATAGTAATACTAAATAATAGTAAATACTAAATAGCAAATACTAGCAATTACTAGTGCGTAAATATTAAATAGTAAACAAATGTGTAAACACTAGATAATAATATCACGATTAACCTCTTGCGCTGGCAACTGGTTCGCGGACCATAACGAGTGACCGAACCGTACGCAATAATTTGTCGCTTTCTTTTTCTTTTGAATTCGCCGGTACGATGTCACTGCATAGAAATTATCAAGAAGTAATAAACTTGTCATTTCTTTCGCCTAGGTTACATTTAAATTTACTTGAAACTGCGAAAATGTTGCAATTTTGGGACAGAAAATTCTCGACGTGCGTGGTACGTCATTCCAGCGCAAGAGGTTAAGTATCGACGATCGTTCGTTTTTTTTTTAATGGCAAAAGTCGGGACTCGAATAGACAGACGTTACTCTAAGTGAGTGAGGGGCACGGGAAATGAGTGGCGAAGGACGAAACAATTTCGAAAGCTCGGCGTCCAATGGCGTCCTTGGGGGTGAAAAGCTTTCGAGGAAAATGGCGGACAGCGCGCGCGGCTGACATTTGCCCGCGTGTATTTATCGCGATAATACGGCTTTAGGTCAGAGGGTGTGGCCTCGCCAGATTGATTCGGCGTGCTCGCTTCTGCGCGCTATGCCTCGTTACTGCTACGTACTATGGCTGCTTGTGCCTCGTCGCGGCTCTTTGTCCATCTTTTGTCTACCAGCTTGCCCCGAGATCCGATAAAACTGACCAAGTCGTCGCTCGATATAAAAATGTCATTCGACCATTCATTTTTTTCTTTATTTGCAAACGATTGTTTGCGAAGGAGAAACGAAAACGCCCTTCGTTCTATATCTTCCCTTCGACTTACTCGACCGCTCTGCCATTTTCGCTTCGCGTTTCTTTCTTGAAGAATCGCGGCGATTCTTAAAAACTTAAGTCTAGAGTTGCGATTCACAACGTGGGGCCCACAGTGTGGGCAATTTGATTTTCTATGGATGAAATCTTGATTTTCAACAATGAGTCAAGTTCATGGTCTTTTAGGCCTCCTCCACATTGAAAATTCACTGTTTCAATAATAAGAATTGTGTCACGGGGGCATCAGGATTTTAGAGATGCTTACATTGGAAATCATTCTACAATCTACAGTCTTTGTTGTTAACACTAGAACTATCAACGACTAAAGCATAAAATTTCAGAGATCATCAGACATATTAAAGCAAAAGAAACGGAAAATCTTTATAATACCACAGGGCGCACGAGTTTTTATTTATGTATTTCACGAAGAATCATTTGAGCCTTATATCTGTAACATATCTAACAAAAATTATTAATCGGTCGTTTTGACCATTTTTAGTTCTAGTGTTAATCACTTGCGCTGGCAACTGGCTCGCGGACCATAACGAGTGACCAAACCGTATACAAATATATAATAATTCGTCGCTTTCCTTTTGAACTCGTCGATATGATATCACTTGATAGAAATTATTGAGAGGTAATAAATTTATTATTTGTTTTGTCTATTTTTGTGTTACTTAAATATACTTAAAACTGAGAAAATATTTTGGAATAGACAATTCTCGACGTGCGTGACACGTTATTCCAGCGCAAGAAGTTAACCATTTGTGCTGGTAACTGATTGCGGACCGTAACGAGTGACCGAACCGTATACAATAATTCGTCGCTCTCTTTTTAAACTCGTCGGTATGATATCACTGGATAGAAATTATTGAGAGGTAATAAATTTATTATTTGTTTTGTCTATTTTTGTGTTACTTAAATATACTTAAAACTGAGAAAATATTTTGGAACAGACAATTCTCGACGTGCGTGACACGTTATTCCAACGCAAGAAGTTAACCACTTGTGCTGTAACGAGTGACCAAACCGTATACAATAATTCGTCGCTTTCTTTTTAAACTCGTCGATATTATTGGATAGAAATTATTGAGAAGTAATAAATTTATTATCTGTTTAGCCTAGGTTATACTTAAATATACTTAAAAAACTGAGAAAATGTCGCGATTTGGGACAAAAAAATTCTCGATATGCGTGGCACGTCATTCCAACGCAAGAAGTTAATAAGTGTTGCAACGTCGATCGAAACGTTCGATTCGAAGGTAGATCTGCTCGCTGATCGTCTTCGTCTGCGGTGGACAGAGAAAGAGAGAAAAAGAGAGAGGAAGACAGACAGTCAAGGAGAGGGAAAATGAGCAAATTGGATAACAAATGGCAAAAACGAGAGCAGAAGGCGCGCGCGTGCGTACGTGCGCCTGCGCGTGCGTTTGCTAGTCGCGAGGCCGCGAGTCTGCGATTGGCCGGAATAAAAAATACTAGGCGGCACGAGCGAACGTGTACGGAAAGGTTTTTTCATCCTGCACACGCCATCCAGCTACGACGATGACGACGCGCTATCTATCGACCGGCCTGTGTGGGTGTTGGTTCTCGCTCTGACAGATTCGAAAACGCATAATTAACACCGACGGCCCTGACTCTATGATTACGCGCATTAATAGCCGGATGGACGAACTTTGCTCGCGCTCCGCACTGTCATTATCGCAACGCGAGAAGGAGACGCGACGCGAGGCGACCCGAATCAAAGAGAACACGGTCGTCGAGCAACCGAACGCCTAGAGAAAAAGAGGAGCAAAATGTGGAGAGCGTTGGAAGGGGGCGGCCCTAAGCGGCACCCTTGCAGAAACGATGTCGACGAATTCTCCTTCGAACAATATTATCGAACCGTGCAATCGTATCGTCTCCGCGATATTTTGCGCATCGCCTTCGCGATCGTTTCAACGCATTTCCTTTCCTTTCCTTTCCCTTCCCTTCTGCGACTCTTTCTTCTCTCTCTCTCTCTCTCTCTCTCTTCTCACCCTTTCGCCGCGCGCATTATTTGCACGATACAACAATGCGACACGAAGGCAGCAGTTTGCGACGGTTGTCGGTTATTTTATCGACGAACGCGTACGGAGAGCTGGCATCCATCCTGGCCGAGACGATATGGCATTTAAATATAATGTTTCGCGCGCAAGCGCGCATATCGTGCCTCTCGCCGCAGACTCCTTTTCAAATTGCATATCAGGTACGATCGAGTGTTGCGAGTATACCAATCTTCCGACGATGAATAATTCATTGTGTAAATAATTCATAAATCACTGTATAAGCTTGCCGGGACGGTGAGCCAGATGAGATTTTTCTTTTTTTTTTCCCTCTCCCCCCCCCACTTTTTCTTTTTCTCGTTCTTTTTAATCGATTCGTCAATTTTCATCGCCATCTTCTTTTTTCTTAACCGTATCGGTGGAAATTTCACGATTTCCTAATGCTCTGTCTTTAAAAATTTTTTCAACGGTTTTATACCGCCCCTCGGATGGTTTTTAATTAAGTTATATTATATTATAAATTAAGTAAGATCGACCGGTTTTTATCTGCTATCTCGCCTGCGTTCGCGCAAGTTTGCGATGCGACAGAGATTCTATTTATGTCTCGAAAGCCAGCCTCCTCCTCTTTCTCCCGCGGCACGCAAGGATGATATTTAAAAATTCACCTTTCGTATCCTTTCGATTCATCCGTCGTAACGAATCTCTCTAGGCGAAATCCTTCGAAGGACTCTCATCCGTTTTTCTCATCCGTCGATTTTCCGAGGTATATTCTGCCAATTGGTTTCCTATCGAAAGAAACAACAGTCGTTAAAGAATCGTGAGGCTACTATTCATCCAGGTGAAAAGAAGAAAGAGAAGGAGAAAGAGAGAGAGCGAGTGCGAAAGGGGCGTTACATCCCGATTGTATCCCGACGCATTGAAATATTCGAAACGTTATGCGGTTTGTGCGAGAGGAGTACGAACAGTCGCGGAAAGCGTGGAGAGTACGGCGGCAAGGCAAGGCAGGACGAGTCGAGGCACAACACGGCCCGCACAGAATGGCACACGAGGGCGGCGTTGCGCGTGTACAAATCATGCAAAGAATGACGCGGCATCGTACTGGCCCGCTCCCTCCCATCTTCCAGACGAAACTCTCCTGTCTCTACTCTCCTTTCTTTCTTTCTTTCTTTCTTTCTTTCTTCTCGTCTTCTTTCTTTTTCCCTTTGGGCGTGCTGCACAGTTGTTACATGCATCATAGAACCGGCGTTCTTCATACGAGGCGTTCGAGGTGTAGGAGATCCCCATGTCGCACATCCCTCGATGCGTTCGTTGCATATTAACGGGGCGAACAACGCCGTGGCGCGTACGCTTTCGTGCCATCAGCATATCGCAAGTCACTCGCTCGTTTACCTGTTTTGCTGCTTGCTTAACCTACTCTGGCTCCGATTCCGAACGTACCTGCGTGCCTAACCGACTAAACTTGCATCCAACGATCGTCCTTGTCCTCCACCCATGTCTCCACCCGTGCCTTTTCATGCGGATTCGGGCTCGAATCCGTGTCCGACAGACTTTGAAAAAGAAGGCTCGAACAACACTGGCACTCACTCGACTTCTTTCGTTCGTCTTCTATTTCCAGCAGACTTCGGACCTGGACACGCTGCTGTGTAGACAGGATCTCGACCGACTGCAGAAACTCGACGAAGATGACCCGGAGAAAGAGCCGAGGGAGCCGACGGTGCAGATGGAGGACTTCTTCGAGGTTGGGGGGCCGGTGTGCCGGGCGCAGGCGAGTTTCGTCTCGTCGAGGAGTCAACCGGCGGCGAGCGACGACGACGTGTTCCTCAGGCCGCCGCTGTGGGAGGACATCACCTCGAGCATACAGAAGCTGGACCCGGAGAACGCGGACATGCTTGGCTCGCAGTCGCACGTCAAGATGGAGACGGACGACGTCTCGTCGCCGGTGTTGTCGCCGGTCGAGATCAAGAGCGAGCCGTTGCCACCGCCGCCGACCTTGCACCTCCTCGAGGCTCCCGCTTCCAACACGGTCTCGAGCTACGCCAACGGCCATCCGAGTCCTTCCACCGTTTCCCAAGTCGTTCACCATCGGACGGCGTCCGCCGCTTTCAAGACTTTCCCTCCTGGTAACAATAACAATAACAACAACAACAACAGCAACAGCAGCAACGGCAGCAGCAACAACAACAACAACAGCAGTAACGTGCCCAACGCCAACAACAGCAACGTTAACGGCAACAGCGGCAGCAACAATGCCGTTAGCAACGTTAACGGCAACAGCAACGGCAGCAACAACAACGCTGTCGTTGGAAGTGGAAATGGCGGTGGGAACGACAGCAACAGTAACAGCAACAACAGTAATAACAATAATAACACCAACAACAACAACAACAACAACAACAACGACTCGACGACGAGCCACCACGGAGGGGGGAGCCAGATCGGTGGCAGCGCAACGTCGCCGCTTTACGGCTCGATGACTAGGTTAATGTACATTTCGCCGCTGACACCGCCGATCTCCGACCCTGGCTCACCGATAGGGGCACCGCCGAGGCGGACGCCCCCGCCACCCTATCCTCAGCCCTCCATTATGAACCCCCCTCACAGGATTCAACCCCCTCCGAGCATCACGACCAAATTCAACAGGCGGAACAATCCGGAGTTGGAGAAGAGACGCGTTCATCACTGTGATTTCATAGGTAAGTGAGCGCGCGAGCAGGTAATTGGAAATTGTCGATACTTGTGCCCGCCGAGAGACGTGCACGCTTCGTTGCGAGTAAGACGCAACATGTTGCTTGGCATCCGACTCGCGCGTGTGCACGCTGTAACAACGGCGCACAATGGCGCGAGAGAGAACGTTCGAGAGGAACGAGCGATCGGATGACGCGATCACGCCCGCGTTTTCCTTCCCGATTTTCGAGAAACGATACTGTTACAAACTCTTAACCGTGTGCTGTCGTTTTGCAGGTTGTACAAAGGTCTACACAAAGAGTTCGCATTTAAAGGCGCATCAGCGGATACACACGGGTAAGTGGACCGATGAGGCGCTCTCCGCGTAGATTCGTCGGAACCGCGACGTTCGAAAGCGACCGTTTTTTTTTTTGGGAGGGGGGGGGGGAAGCGGCATCCACGGTACGCTGCGAGTTATATATATATAAAAATGGACGATGGAACGAAAGAGGGGAAAACTTAAGTCGTGGAAGTTAGATATACGTGGCTCATCTACGCGGAGCGAAACGAAGCGTTTGAAAGCGCACGAGGTCGAGCGCTCGGCAGCGTGGGCAGGGCGCGGTTCTCGCAGCCTCTCCTCCTTTCCACTCTCTTTCTTCGTTTAACCTTCGCTCCCCGCGCATCTCTTTCTCTCCTTCTCTCGCATCCTCTCTCTTTTACCCTCGTACATCTACATGCACATCTACACTTTTATATATATATATAAATATAAATATATATATTCGTATACTTGTATGCACATGTATGTACGTATGTATATATATATGTGTGTGTGTGTGTGTGTATTCGCTCTCGTATTCTCCCTGCCAATGTTTCCGCCGCGGTGTCGCGGGCAAAGGAGTCTCTATCATATGTAAACGTATAAGGAACGCATGAAGCGTGGTATGCGACACTCCGCTTCGTAGACTCGAGCTAGCGACCCACATCCTGTCCGTATCCAAACACACAGCTCGCTAACGCGCTCGTACCTCTACACCTACGTATATTTGTACACGGTCGAGCATGAAAAAGGTTTCTGCTCTGCCGTCTGCTATAGTCACTGTGGTATCTTCACTGTTGGCTCGTCGTCGCCTGACCGAGCATCGATGTTTCTGCACGATCGTTTGCAACGTCGTACGTTCTCCGAGGATTGAATCTTTTGATCAAAGCGGAAGAAATCGTGGACGATCCAGTCTCGTTAGAGTTTCGTATGGGGGTTTCGCGAGGAAAACGTAGATCGTCGAAGGTTTGGTCTTTGGGGGAATGGAAATTGGTGCGCGAAACGTGACGCGAAAGCGGACGTACGCGCGTGCAGAAATGCATATAGACTCGCGCGTGAAGAAGGACGGGAGAGGGACGATAGATGCACGCGTGCCCGCTCGACAATCTCTCGCGGAATGCTTGCCAAAGGCGTTCGAACCACGATGTACCACTTTCCAATTGATAGCTCGAGGTTTTGCCGGTAACCCGTCTACGCAGAGACACATGCACGCTTTTACCAACTATTAATTTATTATGTTTCGCGCCAATTTTAACAAATTTTCTCACGCCAGGCTCCTCTCTTGTTGAATCTTTTCAGACAGCGCTCGGCTCGAGAAGCTGGTTTATTTTTGCTATTTTGACGATTTTATTCCACCGATTGGAAGTAGATGCTTCTCGAAAACATCTTTGAGACATCGTAACAAGTGAGAAAGTGAGTCGCAAGGGATGAAACTTTAGGCACGTGGCTGAATGAACCAACAGATCCAGAACGGATTATACTATATACTTAATTAGGACCTCCTATAATCCGAGAGCGCAAAAAGTTGTAATCAAATAAATAGTCTTTTTTTAATACGACAAAAAATTACTTTGCGCTTTCTGTCTTATTAAATAAGTATTCAAAGGAATGTTCTGCCTGTTGCAATCTGCTGTCCGTACAATTAAACAATTTTCTGTTTTTGTCGATAAAAGATCGTTTGTACGGGAGGATTTCTTCAAACTTGATAATATCTCGGCAGAAACTCTAGCTTTCATTTTACTTTCGTTTTTCGTAACTGTGCGAATTGTCGATTCGTTTCTGTGAAATTTCTCGCTCAAAAGAGATGTCAGTCTATCACCAGATTTTGAAGCGATCAAGAATTTCCATTTTTTTCTTCCAACGATATGAATCTTCTACTCGGCTTATCTTTTCCGGAGATCTTTGGAGTCACGGCTGGAAAATATTATTTCTTACTTCTGACATTAAATCCGTGTCACCTTATAATCGATCAACATCTACTTTGCAATTGAAATGAATTCCTCTTTGAAGTAACACAACTAATTCTGCACGGAAATAACTGTTCCACGAGACACGCTTTAAACAACCTCTACTTATCGCGCAAGAGTCGATGCAAAACTGCTCTTCGAGTCAATTCAAAGACGCGCATATTTTCATGTCAGAAATGAATCTTTTTCAGCGAAATTTTTAGTTCGCGTATGCGTACTGGCACGTGTTTCTATGTGTTTCGTCTCGTCTCTTCTCATCCCCAATACTTTGGTGTCTCTGTTCCGAAGCAATTTGTTTGTGGTGTCCCATTGACAGAGGAATATCGATCTATCGCTCGCGCCCAGTTCGAGACGAAACGTCTACATTCGAGTTGTCGTAAACGAACGCGCGGCGTTGCGATTCTTCGCGATTCTTGCTACGTATTAGTATTCTGCTAATGCATTCGAATGCGTTATACCACGTGTAAGGCGTATACACGTTGCGTGCTTCTTAATAGCAAAATTTCGTGCGCGTTCGCCGATTTCAGGGTTCCGCCCGAGACAACCTTGAACGATCCTTCTCTCTTTTTTTTGTTTTTTTTTTTTTTTTTTTTTTTCTTACTCGCTTGGGACAGATGTTATCGCGAGTAACCATACAGCTCGCCGCGTATCGCCGCATTTCGTTTGGCGGTTGGACGATATAATCGATCGAAACGTTCTCTCAAAGGCGAGGCTGCTCGAAACGATTCGATCGAATGACGACTCTTTGAAAAGTCGGCAATTCTGGTCCGATTCGGACGGGGCGTGCGTAAACTCTCTCGAAGGTTCGAGAAACTCTCGCACGTGTGTATTTAAGTACGTGGAATGAAACGCGCCATTCCAGCCGCAACGTGTACCTATACTTTTGAAAAATTAATTTTCGAAAGCGTTCGACGGAAGCGCAGGAGAGTTTTCTAGACAATATTCGCGCATGTTGCCACTTATTTTCTTCAGGGGCGTCTTTAGGTTGTCGCACAATGGGCCGAATCGAGACTTCACGCGACATTTTTGAACAACTTTTGACTCGTAAAAGATATCGCAATTGAAATTTGACACAAACATTTATAAAAAAATACTCCTTCCCAATGACGTATTTCACGTCTGTTTAATCTGTTTCACTGTTTCGTTAACTTTATAAACAAATTTTTCAAACAAATTTGTCAAATTTAATATATTTATATAAATTATATATTAAATTTAATTTAATTTATATATTATATATTAATTTAGATCATAGATAAAACCTTTAATTGTAGTTATTCTATTAAACATAAGAGAACAAAGTGTTAAAACTCACGTTATACAGCACTCTTGCTCTTCTTTTTATATAAATATTTATATCAGTTCCATGGCTTCTGCATCTAATTCTTTGTTTTCTATTTCTTAATCTCATTCTTAATCTCATTCGTTGTTAAAAATAGTCTATGTCCGTTGTTAAAAATAGTCTATGAATCTATGTATCTCGGTTTGTGGCAATCCATGATATTTTTCTGTTATTTTTAGATCGATATTTTTTACTTTGTGTCTAGTTTCCTTTCTTAGTATCTAGCTTCTTTGGATAATTGTCCAATAGGAATGCATTTCTCACTATGTGTAGCGAGAAAGATAAACAAGCAATTTGCTTGCGACAGAAGCTAGCATTTAATGCTACTTACAGTTGGAGACTATGCACTTTGTAATTTCCAAGGTATAATTTTGAAATTTTACTAAATTTACGCTATATCGCGATGATGAATTACTTGAAGAATGATATGGAATCGTTCGAATTGACACTTGTTCTAATTGAATGTAGTCTAGCACTCTTGGGATCCTCACGAAGTTAACGAATAGAACGCATAAATATGACACGCAGGTATAATATCATATATAAATATGATAAACGTAGGAATCTGAAAAAAAAAAATGAGGGAAAGTTACAAAACATGAAAAGCGCAATTATTTCTCGACCAACCTAATAATACAGAGTGTCCATAAAGTCTCTTTACAATTTCAAAAATTTATTACAAAGGCAAATGAAAAGACAGATGAGTGAAAATTATTACAAAATGAGACGTATATATTTAAATTTCTTGCTGCCTTATTCAATACACTTTTATATGGGCACCATTAGTTGCACAAAGCACATTAAGACGGTGCTCGATTTCATGCCATGTTCGCTGTAACATACCCTCATCAATGGTGGCAATGATCCTCTGTTTTAAATCAGTATTAAATGTGGCAAAAGAAACTTAAATATACAGGGTGTTTCGTAACTTGTGGGAGCTGATTGTACGCTTAAAAATAATGAAAAAAAGTCAGATGAATATATGTCCTATCTGTCTTCGTTTATGAGATACAATGAATTAATATAAACAGAGCAAACTCTAATAAGCTAGTTTTACCAGAGATGGTATATTCAATTTTCATAATAATCATAATTGGGATGAAAAAAACCCACATGTTATTGTGCATTCAAGACATCAACACTAGTTTAGTTTAAACGTATGGGCAGGAATAATTGATAAATTTTTAATTGGACCTTTTTTTCTTGATGGGAAACTAACAGGCACAAGGTACGTTTGATTTTTTGAGCACGCGTTTACACGAAATATCGGAGGAAGTTCCAGTCGATATTAGACTTTGTACGCGGTTTATGCATGATGGAACTCTGCTGCATTTTAGCCAAGTGGCTAGGCAATTTTTAAATCGACACTTTGCAAATAAATGGATTGATGCACGTTCTCCGGGTTTGAATCTATTAGATTTTCATTTGTGGGAACATTTAAAATTTATTGTATACGCAACATCGATTGAACATGCTGAAATACTACGAAATAGAATAGAGCAGGCTTCCGACAAATTCGAGACAAGACGCGTGCAGGCTTGTCTTCAAATGCAAGTCATTTCGCCTCATTTTGTATAATAATTTCCACTCATCTGTCTTTTCATTTGCCTTTGTAACAAATTCTTGAAATTGTAAAGTGACTTTACGGACACCCTGTATTTCCCGAGCAACGGAACAGAGGTAAACTTTTCAGAGGTAAACATCGAATTCGAGGTTCTGAAATCATTTTTGTACGTCTTGCGAAAATACGTGGTTGCAAAGTCACATTTTCACGTTGGTGAAACGAAGTCACGCGTACGTGACAGCGGCCGACAATGCGTTACTGTACAGAAATACATACACACGCACGCTTGCTACATATTTTCAGGAGAACAAAATCGATTGGTTCCCGAATCGTCGGAGGAACACGCAACGCGACGAGACGAGACGAGACGAGACGCGACACGCGTGTATACGTACTCGCATGCTTACCTACCAATACATCGATACATGGTCGAAGCGGTCTCGCACACTCTCTCGAGCGTGTGCGAGAAGAAGCGTCGACGGTGTTGGATACACGGACACGAGGCGAACAACATTCCTGTTTCACATCCGTGGTTTCAACTTTGGCAACCTTCTAAGCCTGCCACGCGTGTTTTGTCCGCTGTCGATTTTGACCAATTTCGAAACTCGACGATCAAAACATCTCGCGAATCGGCAAATTGCAACCGGATCGATGAATGAGAATCGAACGTCCCGAGGAAACGACGAAGCGAGACAAAAGCAGCGTCGTATCGAGACGAGTTTTCGAGAGCGAGGCCTGGGGATCGTGAGACGCTGCGAATGCCAGACACCGTACCGCGGTGAAAGTGATCCGAAATTAACGGGGACGCCTCGAGGTTCGTAGGCGTCGTCGAGCCAACGGGCACACGCGACTCGGTCGTACCTTTCAACTGGAACGTTATCAATCTCGCAGAAACTCGCAGCAACCGCAGATAGGAACGATCCCGAACCGATCGGGCTCGCCACTTTCGATTCCATTTCCAAAAGAAAGAGAAAATTAACAAAGCTGCGACGGAAGAAAAAAAAAAAAAAAAAAGAAGAACAAACTCATCAAATCTATGTTTTCGAGGATCGCGCGGCCAGGTGGAGACACTATATCGACGATATCGCGTAGAGAAAAAGAGGAGCAAGTGACGGATCGGACAAAAAGAGAATTGGCGTTAAACTCGAGTTGTTCCGTGAAATCGCGAGAAACTGGATCGAACCGCAAACTGGACGATCCGAGAGCAAATCGATCGAATGACTTAATGCCAAGTACTTAGTTGCCAATTAGATGACGACACGCGCGGCAAACGCGCTTCACTTTTTCTATTTTTATCGCGATCGATTTACGCGTCCTTCCCTCCTCTCGTCATCGTTTTTTTCTTCTTCGCGAGCCTGCAAATTCGTACGCGTATGGGTACTCGCAGTCCTTTCGATCCCCAAAGGCAGTAGATTCTCAAAGATACGATCGATTCCTGATTCGAAGGATAAATATATTTACGGTGAAACGGCCGATCGATTCCCACGAATTCTCGTAACGAGACCCGTTCCGGTGAAGATGCTGCGACGCGTACGAAACACGCGCGCGCGAAAGAGGCACGCGACAGAGATGGCTGGTGGCGAGCAAAAAAAAAAAAAGAAAAAAATCCATTACCGGAAAGCTGGCTCTCGAGCTATTCCTTTTCTGTTGGCCAAGCAGCCGACACCGGCGTGGCGCGGCACCACGTCTCGAAGAAATCGCCGCGGAATTCTCATGAACGAGCAATACCGTGAATGGATGCCGTTCGTGGTGGTAATACCGATTGTATGGGAGCCGTGCGTGTGGCTAAGACCGGTTGGGGTCGTCTCCATAGCCAGACCATACAGCCGTACCATACAGCAGAACGAGTCACCGGTATGCGTGGGCGTATTTCTCAGCTATCCAGTCTTCTCTCGCTCGCTATTTTCCGATGCACGTAGTGGCTACGTACTTGCTTCTACCGCCGCTCCGCAACGATCTCTCGCTGATCTCTGGCCACTTTCTACGCGGTTTCTGCCGATTTATCCGTCTTCCGCCTCCCATCCGTCTCGTGTTTCGTCTCTCGTGGCGTGCACCCAACCACTCGGCTCGTCGCCGATTTCGAATTTCGACGACTGTTACTGCAGGTAAATGGAATGCGCAAATACTTCGAGCAAGAACTCGAGAACGAATCGTGGGATCAACAGATCACGCTGTTGACGGAGAATCTCGCGTTGAAACAGCGTTTAGGCGAGTCAGCTGTGAAACGTCCCGCCGAAATGAACCGGTACGCGCCAATTGGAATGCCAATTGATCAAACGGTTGCCGCCAGCTTGACTTCGAGGAGCGTCCGGCGAAAAAGGCGATCGATCGACGATCGAAATTAAACGTCGTCGACTCGTCTGGAAAACGGCCAAGTGGTAAGAACAGGGGCGTTAGTACATGCACACGGTATAGAGAACGCTGCAAGGAGGAAGTGTGGCGCGTTGAATGCTATCGATTGAAAGAAAGGAGAAGAAAGGTGACTCGCGTGAGGGAGAGGGAGGAGGGGAGGAGAGGGATCCCGGTAAGAGCAAGCACGGCGAGGAGAATTCCAGAGATTCGGAGAGAGGAAGAGCGAGATCGGCCGAGACAGCAGCGAGCGCGGTGGTGGTGCACGATTCGCCGGTAGTTGGGCCAAGGAAAGGGACCTATTAAAGAACAAAGCGGTGCTCTTTGCGACGGCGATAGATGTACGAGGAACCTTAGGCTACGAGAGATGCCGCGTTGACCTTTAACTGTACCTGCATGCCGCAATACGCTCACCTGTATTCTAGCGCAATCCGTTCGCGTTCTCGCTGCGCGCCGCGTCGATCCTGCTTCTGCTCCTGCTCCTGCTCCTGCTTTTGCTCTTCGCCTCGTCTCGCTTTGCCTCGCTTTGCCTCGCTTCGCCTCTCTTCGCCTCGTCTCACCGCGTCGCGCCGTGCCTCGCCTCGCCGCGTCTCTCCCCGCTGCCCCGCAGCTTGACTCGCCTTGCTTCGCCGCGGCCCGCCCTGCCCCAACTGTCCTCGCTTAGCTACAGTTCCCTCTGTCTCACCTCGTCAAAGCTTCGCTTGGTTGCAACCGAGCCAACGGTCCCGAGATGCATACGCTCCGAGTCCAGTTAACTTCTCTCCAGTGCGAAAATCGCGCTCCCTCGCTCTTCCGACTCGATTACTCGATCCTCGCGTGTCAAAGAATTTCGCAATCCAAGAATTTTCCAATTTTCTCGCCGTCATCCAGCAAGATCGTTTCATTGATCTTCCAAATTCTCACCGGGTTATTCAACCGACTTGTATATATATATATATATATATATATATATTTTTTTTTTTTCCCCCGTCGCCGCGAATGCAGAGATTTAGTCGCGTGGCGAAAACCACGGATCGCCTTGCGATACCGCATTGCTTACCTTGTTTTTGTGTTTCAGGTGAAAAACCGTACCAGTGTCAGTGGCCGGAATGCGAGTGGCGATTCGCCAGAAGCGACGAATTAACTCGTCACTATCGGAAACACACCGGGGCGAAACCCTTCAAGTGTGCCGTGTGCGAACGTTCCTTCGCCAGGAGCGATCACCTAGCTCTCCATATGAAACGGCATCTTCCGAAGCAGCACGCCAAGTGACCATACAGCACCTTCGAGACTTCGACTTCGTCTTCGTCTTCGTCTTCGTCCTCGTCCTCGTCCTCGCCTTCGTCTTTGTCGAGCAATTCCTCGAGTCTGCACGCTCCTGACTATGCCGATCTCTTCGAGCCTCTTCTGCATTGCCAGGAAGAAACTCGCAATCTTAGCTCTCTTTTTTAATTAAGCTCGAATTTGATATTTATAGTCTCGTTCAATCGTTAGTTTCACAGTATCTGAAAGCATTGTCGTTGTTATATCCTGTTACATTTCTCTCGCGAGCACATAGAACGTGGTCGTGTATCGTACGAAAATTGGCGCGACCAACGACAAAACAATCGTTTTGCTTGTGTATTTCGAACGAAGCGTGAGACGACGAAGGGTTTCGATAGTTTTCGATCGCTGTTTCCTCCGAATCGCATTTCCCGACACACGACGATCGTCCATTTAATAGCTTATTTACGGCTCGTGATTACGAATACGTTACCGCGTTTCTTCATTCGATACGATGAAAGGCACGTACATACGCAGTTGCATTGGCGGTGGCTGGACCATTGCTACTCTTCTCTGTTCCGTTTTCCCTGCTACCCCGCTATAGTCGGTTTTTTAAATAAATCTAAGCGATAAATATAAATATCACACTTGCAATTAGCGTCGAGCCTTTGGATTTTTCTTCGAGTTTCGTCACGTTGCGAAATTTCGTTCGTTAGGTTACGTCGCAGTGTTACGCGGCAAACCTAACACAGACATACGGAATTTCACCAACATGTTTTCGCACCTGTGTATTATTTATCGATGTTAGCGCGAATATTTCTGTTTCAAATTCGTTTGGGACGCGATCAGTGTTCATCGGTGCGAGCGACTCGTTTTAATTCGATTTGCGTTTTTACCTGTTGAAAGTTTTCGACAGCCCCCCGGTCGGATTGTTCTTGCGCCATCGCTTCTGATTTGCGTTCTAAAATACATGTACATACATACATAGATTGTTCTCTTTGGAAATAATTTCTCTGGCGTGCGAGATGTACTCCTCCCTCGAAATCTGGTGTTTACGTGAATTGTGAATTGTCGAGTCGAGTTAAACAACTGTAGGTCAACTGTGACTCGTTGGCGAGCGAATATGAAAATTTTCGATTTCCGTTTATTTCGTCGAGCAAATCGAGAGCAAACGTCCAAACGCGAAACAATCGGACGCGAGAAAGGTTCGATCCTTTGCGGAAAACGGCTGTTGCTACCAGTGTAGTGACATCTAGTTTGCGCCAGATTAACCACAGTAGTAAGGGAACCGATTGTTGGAGGTCGCGAGCATCGATAACAATACGATTGGAAAATTCTCCGTTCCGGAAAGAGAGAAGCCTTAATTTATTTGTCCGTGTACATAACAAGGATATGTTTATCGAAACCGGTCTAGTTGGAAAATGGTTCGTTCGCTGGTGATCTTTCTACCGCGACTATCCGTCGCTCTTGCATTCCTCTGCATCAAATCCGCAGCGAGGAGTTAGTCCAGGTTCTTTCGAACGGTCGTTGAATTCATAATCACGCTAATCGACGCGACCTACGCGAAAAGAATCGATCCTTATTATAGTGATGCCTTATGTACAAATTCGTTTAGGTACGTTTCGGCTACGCACATGTATATACATATAAATATAAATATATATACGTATAATCGGCGAGGAACTGTCCACGTGGTGTTAATTGCGGTTGAAAGATCTATGCACTTTTATGTGTGTACACGTGTAAAAAAACAAAAAAAAAAAACAAGAAACAAAAAAAAACAAAAAAAAGAAAGCGATGCATATCCAATACGTATATAGTTAGTGTAACATTATCTGTATGATATGCGATTTAAATATTTGAGCCGACAGATAATTTCGCGATTTCGTCGATTATCTCGTTTACATTCGCGAAAGATGATACGCGTAATAAGTAGAAAGAATAGATGACAAAACGACAGGTCACCCTGAATCTTGAGTTAAAATCGACAAAAAAGAAAAAGATTTTCGCGGAGCAATTTTATACCTTTCCTTTTGTTTCCTCCTCGTAATGTTCTTTCTTATTTTTCTTTTTTTTTTTTTTGTTTATTCTTCCTTCCTTCCTTCCTTCTTCCTACTTTC